CATATTCTCGGAAACCGAAATTATTCTTTTCTGAAAATCGAATTTCCATTCTATCTCGCAATTTTTTTTTTTGAGAACCGAAATCTTGCGGAGCCTACCAACGTTCGGTAGGCATAGTCAGAGGTTGCCATATTCTCAGAAACTGCATTTCGTTCTTTCTGAAAATCGTATCTTTACTCTATTTCGCAATTTTTTTTTCAAAGATCGCATTTTAGTGAAAGCCGAAACTTTGCGGCACCCAGCCTAGATCTTGTTCATAATACTCTTCTGACATATCCTACTCATCATAGATCGACAGATATATACAAAAAAAAAAAAAAGGAAGTAGTCCTCTTTTATTTTTTTATTTTATTTTATCTGTTGATTAGGGCCGGAGGAAAGTATTGTTGGGTTGGTTTCCTACCTGCGTGTCACCTCCCACCCACCCTTTGCATACATTTTCCGGGTTGGTACAGTAACACGTCAACAGTGCCACATCAACAATGACACGTCAGCTACAGTGACACGTCAACAGTGCCACGTCAGACACAGTGCCACGTAAGCAATGCCATGTCAGACACAATGCCACGTCAATAGTGCCACGTCAGCAGTGCCACGTCAGACACAGTGCCACGTTAGCAGTGCCACGTCAGACATAGTGCCATGTCAGCAGTGCCCCGCCACCATGACGGGCGCAGCTCTGGGCATGTCAGGCCAACTGGCCAATGAGTCCATTGCCGACTACAAAAAGCGCTTCCAGGCTCAGCTCGCTGCAATCGAGGCTGAGGAACAATGCCAGCTGGCAGTCAAGGCTGCCCAGCTACAGGCTGAAGAAGCGGCAACAGCAGAGAAGCTGCGGCTACAGGCCGAAGCAGACGCAGATACCCAGGCTCGCCGCAAGGAAGCCCAGGATCTGCTGCTGCGGCATGAAGCCAACAGCATCGACAGACTCAAGTTCTGGCACTTTGAACCGAACGGCGACGAACCAACACCGGAAGAGAAGCATAAGGAGTTCATGGCCAAGCTCGTGACCAGGCTGGTTTACACATGTAACCACCTGCAGTCCGAGCTGGCAAGCCTTCAGCGGGCTGTGCGGAACCATAAGACTCAGCATGAGGATGCCACACGGGCACAGGACGCCCGTGTACTGGACCTGGAACAGGCTGTACCAGGACCAGCTGCTGGGGCTTCTAGCAGTGCATCCTCTAGCCGCCAACTGGAGGAACGCGTTGACCACGTAGTGGCAATGCTAGGAGACATAAGTGCCTTCACAGAGCCGGCCACTATCAGCCAGCGGTTCGAGTTGCTGGACACTAGGATCAGTCAGCAACAGCAGACCGATCACAGCCACAACAACAGCTCGGCAAGGCCATACAAGATGCCGACGTTCCGGATCGAGAAAGTTGATGACTACACACATCAAGACCCGGTCGTCTGGTGGCAAGGATTTACAACGGAGTTGGGGATCCACGAGGTCCCTGACCATCTGTTCATCAGTGCTCTGTTCATCAACACCAAGGGAGGATGTCAGATCTGGCTCTGCCACATGGCAACCATCCACGACGTCCAGGTTTCAGACCTACACAAGAAGGTCTCATGGGCGGATATGACAAAGGAATGGAAGAAGCGGTTCATAGTGGATGACGCGCCTGCGCTCGCCATCAACCGCATCTTCCCGATGGCTCAATGGAGCACACCGACACGAAACTGGCTCACGGATTGGCAGAAGATCGTGGCCACGCCCGATCTGGACCTGCCATTTTCGCATCTGCGTCGTGAGTTCTACAACAGGTCGTGCGCCGCTCTGAGCCTCGCACTTGGTGATCGCGAGCAGTACCACACTTTTGCAGAGATCATCAACAAGSCGAGAGAGATCATCAAGACCAACARGTCAGCTGCACACGAGAAATCAACATGGCAGCCGACCTATGTGGAGAAGGCACGAACTGGTCCGCGA